AAGCGATCGTTCGCTTGAACTGGTGAAAACGGAAATGGGGGAATATTTGTGGTATGCGGAATTGGCTGGAGCCCGGCTAGCATCAGCCGACTTTGATACATTTGTGTTGCCGAGTGATGTTTCCGACGTGGAGCAGGCACATCAGAATGCAGCGTTCGTTGCACCATGGCAGACGTTCTTTGGAGGATGTGATAGCCATAGGTATGGGGTTTCAGGAAGCTGATGCGATGCAGAAGGGCGGGGAGGTGCGGGTGGGTCCTTGCCAAATTGGCAGTTGTTTGACAACGGCTGTCGGTTGCTCGAAGCTGTGATGAATTCGGCGCCCTTCAACACAAAGTTAGTAGTCTACACACTTCATCTGTGCATGCGCTTTGGTGGGCCGCTTCGACAGTTTGCATTTTTGCGAATGCCGCGTGGATGTCTTGAAGTGCAGTTGGCTGACGAGCGTTTGCAGTGGAGCCTGCATGGGTCAGCGTGAGGCAAAGGGAGGTTCGCACGCATTGGAAAGCACAGACGCGTGGGAAAATAGGCAACAGCTGGTCGCATTTGTCAGCGTTGCATCTCATAGGCAAGCCGTTGATGAGGCGTTGCCGGGAAGATAGAAAACCGCGCGCAGCAGCTCTACAGGGTTTGCAGTGGGCCCGTCTGCACCAACCGTAGCTATGCTTTATGCGTGGGAGGCGTCCTTACTATTTTGTGCGGTACCTGCAAGTGTTTCGACGAGGTGTGCCTTCTCGGTAGCCCGCGGAAAAGCATATTGGCGGTGAAATATTGTTACGGAAATATTACCAGCCAAGTGCCTCCACAACCGCGGTTCTTGAGTTCGTCCCTGAAACCTATGCACTCCAGTGGTATGTTCCCTATGCGCGTCCAACCGTGTAGCCTGGTTGTGAAGCGCCGTTGCATGCGCTTCGCTTTATGGCGGCGCTCGAATGCGCATCTTTTAGCCTTCGGGATGCCGTTCGGGAAACGGGCAGTACTGTTTGTTTGCAGGCTGTTCGTGGAAGTTGAGTAAGGCTTTTGTACCCCTGGGTATTCAAGGGCTGTGTTGGCAGTGTGCTGCGGCAGGGGGCGTATTGAATTGGCGGGAGGTGCGCGTTGAGTGGAAGTCGGCATGCATCCGGCTTTCATCTGAGTGTGATCGCGATCCAACGCCTGGTGCGTTGTCGCTAGACCTCAGGTGGACCTAATTAGTATGTTTGCAAGAGTGATTCGATGGCTGACAACACTTACGCTTTGCACTAAGTGGCTGGCCTATGACCAGTCAAAGCTTGCAAGCCAGGTGTGGAGTTTCTGCAGTCGGAAATTGCGTGGGTTGCTCTCCCAGCAAAATCTCTCCCATGACACTGGGGGTCAGCGGAAATATTCCAAGGCGTCGATTGCCTGCGTTGAAGAGTCGCGAGAAGATGGGGAATGCGGTTTGCTGTACTTTACACACGCATGCCTGCATCTGGAGCATGGCCCTTGGGCCCGTTGACCAACGCACCAACATCACGCT